TATGTATGTATGTATGTATGTATGTATGTATGTATGTATGTATGTATGTATGTATTTATTTTTACATGAAGTAGCTAGCTGTTCCATGTGCAATACACTCTGCCAACAGTGTTAATCAGGGGAAGACAAATGTAAAAACTCAAACGTATTGCTATCAAGTTGAAGCTGATTCTATCACTTTTCCAGTGCTGTAAAGCTCATGGGAAGAGTTTGCTCATTTTTTTATCCTGTGGTCCTGGTAATGGATTTGAATTACCAGAGAGGCCAGGCCTGAGCAGTGCAACTTCCTACTGACTGGGCCACTATAGTTTCTTTAGGGCAGGAGAGAAACTTATATAAGAAATGATAAGAGAGAAACAAAATGAAAAAAGACTAAGTTCTTAAAGCCAAAGATAAAAAATCAAAAAGAATTCAAGGATTGAGAGTAATTTTATATAAAGATGGATAACAGCTCTTTTAAAATAACAACTGTTTCAAAGAAAAACAATATTTCACACTCTGTATATCTTTGGGCAAGAGAGCTAATATCTGCATTAGGTAGTTACAAAGAAGTAAAATTTTAGCTCTGTGTAAGAAAGATATCTCTAACAATCTGGTGTAAAGTGGCATCAGGACTGAAGGAAGACTCATCAACAACCTATGTGATACAGATGACAGAGGGGGACCGGAAGCATTTGCTGCAGAAGGTCGAAGACTATTGTCTTCAATATGAATTGAAGCTCAACATCAAGAAGACAAAGATTCTCACCAATGGGCCATTTGGCGGCACCATGATGGATGGAGAAGAGATTGAGGTTGCTAACAGTTACAGCTTGTTAGACTCCACAATCAACACACTTAGCACCAGCAGTCAGGAAAGCAAAAGATAAATTGCATTAGGTAAATCTGCTGTCAAGGACCGCTCCAGAGTACAGAGAAGCAACAATGAAAATTTAGAGATTAAGGTGAGCTTGATCCAGGCCATGGTTTTCACAACCACTTGGTGTGCATCAGAGAGTTGGACAATGACTAAAGATGACAGAAGAATTGATGCCTTTGTATTGTGCTTAAGAAGAGTATTGAACATACATGGACAGCAAAGAAAACAAATCTGTCTATCTTGGAGAGAGTGAAACCAAATCTCTTTGAGGGTTAGGGTTTTGAAGCTATATCTCTTTGGGGACATGGCCAGGAGGGACAAATTCTTGGAGGAAGTCTTGGAGGAAGACCACGGATCATATGG